ACTGGGCCCCAGAATAAACACACAAGAAATACAGCTGCTGACTTGAACCCAACTTTGACCGAATGACTCCCAGTTGACCCAGTTTCCCTTGCAACGAGGAGTGCCAAATGAGATGAAAGCAGAAGTTGTCCAGCGAGGCTTTCAGGAAATTGGTCTCAAGTAGACTAACTCAGCCAGGAGCATAACCTTTTGATTCCCCCCATTTCCTTCTTCCTGCCTGGGACATAGATGTGATGGCTAGAATACAGCAGCCATCCTGTATTCATGATACTCCTCCCACTGAATGGTGAAGACTATGTTCCCTCCCCTTGAGCGAAGGTGGACTTTTGTGACTGTCTCAACTAACAGAGTGTGGTAGTAGTGGTGCTACTTTTATGACCTGGCTTTGTCCAAGGCTACATCATAGAAATGTCACGTACTTCCTCCTGGCTCCCTCTTGGGACACTCATTCTTGGAACCTAACCACCATGCTGTGAGGAAGCCAAAACCTGCCCAGGCAGAGAGACTACCAGTAAGTGTTCTGGCTGCCAGCCCAGCTGGGGTCCCAGACAATAGCCAGCACCGAGCAGCAGCTGCTGGTGTGAAGGCACCTCTGGTTGATTCCAGCCCCTGGTCATCAAGTCACTCCTTGATTTTAGTCTTCTCCAGACATCATGGAGGACAGACACACTCTCCCCACCTTGCCCTGTCCAAATTCCTGGCCCGGAAAATCTGTGAACATCATAACATGGTTGTTTTATGCCACTAAGTTTTGGGCACCACCTTTGAGAAGCTGACACTTGAACTGAGACCACAATGAGAAGGAAGAACTTGGCTGTGAGAAGAGCAGGGGCAGGACATGCCAGTGGAGGAAAGGACAAGTGCAAAACCCATGCAATGTGACTGCGTTTGTAGCACCTGAAGGACAACAAGAAGGCCAGTGAGGCTGGGGTGCAGGAAGGAGAAAGTGGTCAGAGGAAAGGGCGCAGACGTGGATGAGGATCAGATCGCATAGGGCCTCTTGGGTGAGGAACCTCCTCCTGGGGTCTCAGATGGCGACAGCTTCCACAGTCACCTCTCCCAGTCAGCAGACTGGCTTATGCACAGGCCTACAATGCTTCGGCCCAAAGGAGGGACCCATGGTAGGAATTTTCTGCAACTGCTAGTGACACGGAGCAGGACCCTATGGTCCTCGCCCACCCCCTACCCCACGTCCTCAGTCTGCCTTTTGTCTGTGGAAAAATTTTGGCCAAAGAATAAGTTTAATCAGAGAAATGAGAAAATGCAGAAACAAATGAAAACAGTCAAAGGAGACCAAATAATAATAGTTTAGTCATTAAACATAGTCAAGGACCTTTAGTTCCTTAAGGGCTATAGATAATATCCTGAGCCATATCCTGTGAGCTGTCTTATAGATACTAAAATGCCCACCAGGTGGAAGAAGTGAATTACATCATGACCAGGCTGTAGCCATGACATAAGCTGCCACAATTCCGAAAACTGGCCTCAAAGAGATGGAAACAAACCGAACCTGGAACTGAAGATTAACTGTACCTAATACAATCAAGATGCTGCTGGTCAGACCACTGAAGACCAATTTCAAGATGACTGTCAGAGCTGACTGTGCTGTTTCTGCGTGTAGCCCCCTCCCTGTGTCTATAAAAGCTCTTGCCCCCGACTGTCAGTGGTGGGGAGTTGGCCTTTGGATAGGCGTCCGCACTGTGCCACTGCCCACCCCAGTTGCCAGCATCCAAAATAAAGCAAACTTTCCACCAACATGGCCTCTTAATTGGCTTTTGAGTGGCGAGCAGCCAGACCGCACTTTTGGTTACACTAGGAGAGGGATTTGTTTTAGATGACAAAACAAGAGAATTAAAGGTGTCTAGGGGCCACACCAGTTTAAAATCTCCAATGACTCATTATATGCAAGGAAAAGCAGGAGGCTTCTAGCTTGGCATTTTAGGTACATCTCAGTTTGGTCCTAACCTTGGTTTTGGACCCATCACTTGACCCACTTGGAAACCTGCCTTTCCAAACGTATCCATGTTCTAACGACGTGTGATGGTGCCCTGTTCTCCACACATATCACGTTCCTTTAGGCCTGTGAGTGTTCTTATGCTGACGACCTGCCCTCCTCTACCACCTTGGCCTGGTGGCTCCCTCAAAGTCCATGTCAGTGGCACCTCTTCTGCCAACTTTCCTGGATACCCCAAAGGGGAATAAGCCTCTCTGCCCCCCATGCTCGTGCAGACTTTTGCACAAATTATACTTACCACAGAGTAGCACAACTGTTCACATATATAGTTCTCCTCCCCACCTCCAACCTTTCCCTCAACAGAAAAAGGAGACCTACTCAAGGGCAGGTGGGGGGCCTTTTCCCTCTTTGGGGATCCAAGGCCTATCTCAGTGTCTACGGTGTTGTAAACATCCTGTGATGTTCTGTCCAGAAGGAACGGGTAAGTCAGATAGATAGATGGATGGATGGATGAACGGATGAACGGACAAATGGACGAATGGGTGGACAGGGAGTTTGATGAATGACTGGCTGGCTGGATGGGTGGATGGACATATCATTAGGTGCATGGACAGATGGAAGGACAGATGAGTGGGTGAAAGCCTGGCTAGATGAGTGGATGAGAGATTGATCATACACACAGGTGGGCAGGTGGATGAATACATTTATGACTGGGTTCAAGGAAGGATAGAGCAAGTCTTTAAAGCAGAAGTCAGCAAAATTTCCTGTAAAGACATGATAAGTATTTCAGGCTTTGTGAGCCACATATGGTCTCAGTCATATACTCTTCTTTGCCCTTTTTTCCACAAGTGTTTAAAATATGTAAAATCCATTCTTAGTTAATAGGCTGTAGAAAAACAAGATCTTGACCATGAGAATGCACTTCTGGATGACCAGAAATTTTATGAATCCCTGAGGTAGCGCTATCTACCATTTGACAAACACAAAGTTGAATCCCTAACACAGAAGGCCAGAGGCCATCTCTGTCGCCCTCTCAACAAAAGCACGATGGAGTCGAGGACTGTTCTAGCTGGGGAGGTTTAAAATGCACAGCTGGACCCTTCCCACCACCGGGCAGCCTTGGAATTTCAAAAGCAGCGGATCTCCACAGAGAAATTCTGAGAGTACCTGCCAACCTTAGCAATCAGACACAGACCCAGGGAGGGGAGTGGTGGAGAACGTCCCAAAGTCTGTGGTCTCCTTTGGACTAGTGTCCCTGGCTAGGACTTGGAGTCACATTGGGGCATTTCTGCCACTTCTATCCCCATAAGCACTAACATCACAATGTAGCTCCAGGCCACAATTTCCCACAACTAGCTTCTGAGTTGCGATTTTTTTTTTTATGGGCTCTTTTTTTCCCCTCCTCAGGATATTATTATGGATTACCAGCGGCTTCAGCATCTTTCCAACTGGCAGGAAGCAGTGCAAACAGAGATGGAAGTTTCCCAGTTAGAACCCTCTTAACAAAGTCATAAAACAAAAAGGCGCAGCCCCTCTGTCAAGCTGCCAGCTCAGAAGCAAGGGAGAAGCATTACAAAAGGGAGAGTGATGCTTCCTGCCGTGCTGGGGCCACTGCGCTTCACACCTGAGGGCTTTTGGGTTTAATCACCCACACAAAGTTCTCAGCCTGAAGGGCAAAAATGAGGGGCTGGGAGTGCAGGGCCAGAGCAGTGCTCTATCCCCCCTCTCCCGGGGACCTGGGTGCCTCTGTTCACATGGCAACACGACACCAGGGTGATGTCACCGAGAGGGACCTCAGCAGGATTCGACCAAAGACCTGGCTTGGTGCTGGTGCTCCGCTGCCGGCAGGAAGGCCCCTGCCCCGAAGAGCTCCAAAGGTGGAGGGGACACGTGACTAACACAGGACGGCAGCACAGCAGGAGTCAGGAGACCTGGGGCTTCCTCCTGGCTCAGCCACCGAGGGGCACTGGCCTTTGCATCACCACCGACAAAACGCTCAGGATGGACATTCCCAGCTCTGACATTCTTGGAAAGACACAAAGACGAATCAAAGCAGCACGGGACCAGGTGCCAGCCTACGAGGAGACTGCAGATGGCTTAGAGAGCCCAGCCGAGCAGGGAGCTCACGAGGGCCTTTATGGGACAGATGCCCTCACTTCCCACATCTTTGCTGCACCCTCTTCCCTTGCCCTTCCTTATGACTCAGCCCCAAAGTCACCCCCTCCGGGAAGCCTGCCTAGATTCCCTGAGGTTGTCAGTCACTCCCTTTTGCTCTGGATAATTACTCATTCACCAATCTGTCTCCTTCGCTGGCCAGATTGCCCCTGCAGAAGGGACCTGTCTGATCCGACTTTCCATCCCCAGCTCTTGTCACACAGCAAGTGTCCAAAAAACGTTCACTGAACTGAATTGAACTGACTGCACAGGGAGACCTTCTAGGCAGTCTGGCAGGTTGTGAAGGGTGGCAGTGCCAGAAATCCAGGCAGTCCCCAGTCTGGCCTCTTTTCCTCTGAAAATCCAGAGGATTCCCCTGACCCCACCGGCTCAGGTGTTATTGTCCCAATACCAAGGTGACTGAGAAAGTCTCTTGATACCCCAGCTGCCTGGTCCTTGTGCAAACACATCACCTTCTCCACATAGACCTAAACGTACAATGAGCGCACACACCTGTACACACACACACGCACATGCATGTCCCCACCCCACACACCTGAACTTGCACACACACAGCTACGACCCAGAATTACATCTGTCCTCCTTCTGTCTTCTTCAATGAGAGGGTCGAGGAGACCGCAAACATCCTTCCAGAAACCTCAGCACGTCCCCTATGTACCCTCCACTCAGGCAGAGGGTAGCTCCACGGAAAGAGTGTGCTCTTCGCCCCCTGAAGCACACGAAGCAGGAGACAGACTTCCCTGAAAAGCTTCGGTGAACAGGTGCCTCTGCTTGTGGAAAGCACCTCTGTCTCCTCATTGCTTTTCTGCCCCTTATATCACAGCCTTGTAAAAGGGCGATTCGTTTTGGACAATTAAAGTGATTAACTCACCAGATGTAGGTGCTGGAGCATCTCCACGTATCTGCAGGGGGAAAGAGGTTTGAGTGCATTAATTCTCATTCTGTAGAAGCCGGGGAGGGGTGATGTTCTGTTAACAAGCTCAAGGCCACAGGCAGCTGCTTGGGGACTCACGCTTTCTCTGAAGACAGCAGTTCCTGTGCTATGACGTGGGCTCTGGACTGTCCGTCCACCTGTGGGAGGAAACAGAGCCATCAGGAGGGACGGTACCCATGGGGGCAGTAGAAGGGGAATCCCAGCTCCACAAGCATCAGTCAGGTTTATAGAAGGACCATCACGCTGCCGGAGGTGAATTCCACAGGCTTCTCAGGCCACCCCGGCACTCACTACCTGTGTGATCTTCAGCCTCACCGCACCCCGGCTGCCTCATCTGTAATGTGGACATTAACAGCATCTAGTGCTCAGCCCAGTGCCTGCTGCGGCCTGCATGCTCGGCCGCCCTCACACCCACGCAGACTCTGCCCACAGCCCGGCAGGTTTTGAACAACCTGCGGTTCTGTGCCAAGCGAGCTCTCCTTGCTTTTTTACATGCTGTCACCTCAGTGTACTCTTCCTTTCTCTGCCTGGCCACCTCCCAGTTATCCTTGGAGACTTAGCCATGATGTCTGTCACTTCCTCCAAGGAGCACTCCTGATCCCCTCCCCGAACAGGCTGGATTAGGTGTCCTTTCTGGGCAGCCCCCTCTCAGGACACCGATTACATCTCCCCCTGCAGGCAGGCACCGGGAAGTGCACCTCTGCAGGACAGTGCCCAGCCTGGGGTTGGTCCTCTTTTGTTACTGAAAGAATGAACGAGTGAATGAATGAATGAATGAATGTTCATACCACTCGGGAAGCACTGACTCTCCTGGCTAACCTCAGAAGGTGAGCCATTTAACCCATCTGAACCCCAGCCTCCGCACCTGTGAGATTCGACAATAACTGAGATTTTGTCTATAAACAGGAAGGATGAGTGGGGGCCGAGGCAGAGGCCCGGGCCTTCTGCCACGAGCAACCCTTGTGGCCCCAAACCTGCCGGATATCAGACACACCGCGGTGTATCCGGAAGAGCAGAGACACTATGGGGCAGTGACAGGACAGATGGGGAAAGACACTGGGCCTGTGCAGGCGAGGCTGGGCGGGGTGGCCGCCGCGGAGAAGAGGGCACTGATGGGACGCATGGCTCCTGGTTTCCGGTCTCCTGCCACCTTCCCTTGCAACCCTGCAGAAGTCACTTTCCGAGGTCGGGCCTTAGCTTCCCAGGTGTGAGTAGAGTGACCTCTGAAGGCCGTTGTCTGCTGAACCTGTGTGTTATTAAACTTGAGATGCGATGATCTACTCCAGTGGCCAGAAACGCACTGCCTGTTGAGGGAGCAGCTGCACGGGGCTGTGGCTAAGAGCACGGACTCCGGAACCAGGCAGTCTGGGCTCAAATCCTGCTTCTGCCTTGTACTAGTTAAACAAGTCACTTAACCTTTCTGTACCTCAATTTCCTTACCTGTAAAATGGGCACAGCAGTATAATGGTATCTCACACACACACATATTGTGAAGATTAAATGAGTGTGTATATATACAGATAGAGACCTCTCTGTATCTGTATCCATATCTGCATCTCACACTTGGAACAGCGTCTGGTACACAGTAAACACTACACAGCTAACCGCTATCATTATGCTTGTGCTTTTTGTACCCTGAGGAACAGAACCAGGTGCCCAGGGATGGAATAAGAACAAATAATTTACAGGGTCAAGTAGCGAAAGGCCTCAACTGCAGAGTAGAGGCTGAGCCACTCCTCTGATAGCAGTTGAGGCAGAGGAAAGCAAATGGACCGTGGAATCAAGCACACCTAAGTACCAATCCTGGCTCCAGCATCGTGTGATTGTGTCACGGCTGGCAAACCATGACCTCTGAGCCTCAGCTTTTTCACCTGAAATACATGGAGAATGACCAACCCGGTCTCACACACTGCTGTCTGGGATGATGCACTCTTAACTCAGGCTTTGCATTTGCTGTTCCCTCTGCCTGTGATGCTCTTGCCCAGATCTTCTTCTCATTCTTTTTTTTTTTTTTTTTTTGCGGCATGCGGGCCTCTCACTCTTGTGGCCTCTCCCGTTGCGGAGCACAGGCTCCGGACGTGCAGGCTCAGCGGCCATGGCTCATGGGCCCAGCCGCTCCGCGGCATGTGGGATCTTCCCGGACCGGGGCACGAACCCACGTCCCCTGCATCCACAGGCGGACTCTCAACCACTGCGCCAGCAGGGAAGCCCCTTCTTCTCATTCTTACTTTCTGACTTTTTCAGGTCTCTGCTCAAAAGTCACATCCTCAATGTGGCCATCCATGACCACCCAACCCAGAGAACTCCCAGAGTCAGTCTTACTCCGGGGTTCTCAGCCTTGGCACCACTGACATTTTGGGCCACACAGCTTTCGCTGCAAGGGCTGTCCCACGTGCTGCACGACTGTTAACAGCATCTATGGCCTCTACCCGCTGGATGACAGCTGTAGCCCCACTCCAAGTTGTGACAACTGAATGTGTCTCCAGACATTGCCAAATGTCCCCTGGGGGGCAAGAGCTCACCTTGGATGAGAACCTCTGCTCGAACCCTGTTTCTTGCTGTACTTTTCTTTATAGCAGTCACACTACCTAATGTTACCCTTGTACACGGGAGATGTTCAAGAAATGTGTGAATAAACGGATGGAATTGAGATACAGGGCCCAGCACATAGTAGGTGCTCAATAAACGAGTTCCCTTCCCTAGCTGGTGTGTCCCTAATAGCTTCTTGGCTAAGAGCACAGTGTTTTGGAGATTTCAGTCTCTCCAAGGCCACCCAAATTCAGCAAAACTTGGGCCTACGGTCAGTCTTCCTCCTGCCTCTCGCTGCCGCCTCTGTGGTGGGTGATGCTGTTACACCATCCACAGAGCAGGAGGGAAACTTGTGAGGCCTGCAGAGGCCTCCAGCCTCACCTGGCCTCTCGCCCTCCCACGGGTACCGCACCATGGCTCCCGGTCTGCCTTGTGCATCCACAGGGCTAGCGTGGGGCTCTGCAGGCAAGAGCAGCTCACTTCCCAAGCAGGGGTTCCTGCAGAGTACCACACGCAAAAAGACTTCGTAAAGAAAACCCTCACAACGGAAACGTATTCTGCCAGGACAGGCCTCAACAGTTAAGAAAACCCTGTGGTCAAGCTCCCGTAAAGAGAATTACTTTGTAGAGAAAGGACCGGGGTCAGGAGATTGGCCCTATAAGATGAAGACGAGAATCAAGATGACGTCCAATCTTCCAGGGGCCTGTGAGTCAAATCTCGTTTGTCATCCAGCTTGATGCTGAGACCTGTGCTCTGGGGTCGGAAGGCCTGGGTTCAAGTCCTGGGCTCCACCCCTTCCTACGCTTATGCCCTTGGACAAGTTATTTCTCTTCTGAGCTCCCTCTGTAAACATGGATGATGATGATAATAATAATAATACCTACCTAATAATATACGAGCTAGCATTTATTGAACACTTAGTTTGTGCTAAGTATGGCTCTAGGATTTTCACATGTATTATCTCACTGAATTTTCCCAACAACCTAGGAGGTAGATGCTATTATTATGATCTCCATTTTACAGATGAGGAAACTGAGCAACAAGTTAAGTCCTACCCTTTGCCCAGAGTCACTGCTAGTAAGTGGCAGAGCCAAGATTCAAAGCCAGGTCGTCAGCTCCAACCTTGAAGCACTTGGCAGTGTGCCTGGCACTGGGCAAGTGCTCAGTAAATCGTGTCTCTGCTCATTGGAGGAGGTGGGCTTTCAAGCTGGGAGACACCTACTGCTCTTCACCTTCACTGTGAAGGAGGCAGCAGGAGTCCAGCACTCCAGGGCGCCCAGGCTAGTCCTCCCGCCACAGCCCTTTCTGATTCCCAGCCCGCAGAGCAGCACCCACCATGGCACACAGCAATGGGAGCGGTGCCGGAAGCGAGGACGCCCGGATCCACACCCCAGCCAGGCCACGAGCACCTATCTGACTGAGTGCAAGCCCTCCTCTGACGCCTGTCTTCTCATCGGGAAGATGGGGTCAGCGTTCCCCCACTGCAAGGACCAGATGATGAGACGATGGATGGAGTGTCCCCGCCCCACCCCTCCGAACTTCTGGAGTTGTCCTCATTACCACTGTCACAATCTTGAAGCTGTCGGGAGGGACTTCTGTGCACGGGCCACTCTGCACGTCCCTCCCAGGCCCTCCAGCCAGACGGGCAGACTCTGGGCAGGATGCACAGGCTGTCCCGCTTTAGTGACTCTGCTGATGATGGATGTCTCTTCGCCAGCCAGAGAAGAAGGCCTGGCGGGCCATGTGCCTGGGGCTCTCCTCAGAAGCTGCTCCTGGGCGTTGCCCAGCCGGGCCATTTAATATAGATGTTTGTTTAACCAGGAAATGAACTCCGTGGTTGACGGCAGTGTCCAGGGACAGACTTCTGGGAACAGGGTTCCTCCCTGGCGTGTGGGGGCTGGGCCCGTGCTATCGCGTTTCTCAGGCTGGCGCTGTGAGGGTTACATCAGGTAGCCGCCCTTCTGTCCGAGGTCCAAGCCCAAGCGGCTTATCTCCCCTGTTCCCCTGGGCCGCCCAGCCGCACTTCCTCCCCAGGCCCCAGGCAAACCTGCCGGCTCAGTGCTGGCTATTCTGGGAGCAGCGCAGGGCGGGAGGAACAGTCCTCCCTTAGGGACCCCCCTGGCTGAACAGACCTCAGAAAGAGCTGGGAGTCCTGGTCCTCTGCCTGGGACTCAGTTTCTCCAGCTATAAGACGGGGGTTCCTAGGCCCCTTCTAGAACAGCGGTTCCCCAAGTCTGCTCTGAGGAGCCCCAGGGTTCTGCGTCCCCTTCCCAACTACGTTATCTGTGTGAGCCTGGATTTTCACTAAACTTGACCAAAACAGCATTTTCAACAGACGGAACCCGAGAAGAATCCAGGCGTCCCCTATGAAGCCGGAAGTTAACACTGTTCGCAAAAATGTGAAACCTGGTCACTCTTGTCGCTAAATATTTTGCAAAACAACTATTTTTCATAATAAGTGCTATCTATGTTAACATATAATGGTCTATTGTTGTTATTTTTAAATGAATTAAAAGATAGATGTTTTAAGTTTTTCTCAGCGTTACTTTCTCACGTGGTAACTATGGATAGATATAACTTATAGAAATAAAAACTCTTAGGGGTCTTC